CGGCGCTGCCGGGCCTCGTTGGCCCCTTGAGGAGGTTTCCTTCCCGGCTTGCCGGCGGCTCGCGTCTGCGGAGGGTGGCTTTCTCTCTTTCCTTTCTGTTGCTCCTCCCGACGCGGCGAAGCCTGCGACTTTTGTCTGTCCCGTGGATCGGCCTTTTGGAAATTAACACCTGTACAAGTGTATGTTTCAGGCTTTATTTCTAGTATCGAAGTTTCAAATTTTTAAAGCAAGGCTGTTTCTGAAGGCGTTTCAAGAACATTGTTCAAAGAGGGCTTTACTTTTTTGTAATGTAGTTAACAGTGGATATAAAGTGTGACAGACAGTACTTGTAGAGTACTTTTATGAATATTGTTTTCTAATTGTGTTGTTTTTAGGTTGAGCACAGTTGTCTTCGTATATATGACTCTGAAATTCAGATGGACATACACTTGGCATACTGAAGCCTGCAACATGCCGTGCTACGGGGCTCTTTTTGGTCTGGTTTCTGACCTAGAAGGATGTGTGTCTGTCAGTATCACATCCATTTGGTGCACATGTGCCCCGGGGCCAGGGTTAGTAAAACAGCCACTCTTGTGGAGAAACAGTGCAGTGGGGGAAACGTGAGAGACTCTTTATGTGTTTAGGGTTAGGTGAAAATGTGAACTCCCAGGGTTTTTACTTGAACAACATTTGGAGAAAGTTTCCCTGATGAATTTCTTGTCATCTTCCCTTCCCCCACAAACCCCAGAGCCTTGTGCATTGTATTTACAGTATGCAGTATGTAAAATGCTTTTTTTTTTTTTTTTTTGAGGCAGTGTTTCATTGTATTTGAGACTGGCCTTGAACTCACTATATAGTCCAGGTTTGCCTGGAGCTCAGAGTGATCCTCCTGCCTCAGCCCCCCAGTGCTGGGGTCACAGGTTTGCTGTCACCATGCCTGGGCCAAGTGTTAAATGCTTTATTCAGTGAAAATGGTTGTATTATAACCATTAAGGATGTTTATACATTGTATATTCAGATTGTTTCAGCAGCTTTGAGTTACTTTTTAATTTTTTGCAGATAACCTTCTGTTAAGTGATGAACTTATCACCAATGGCTTTCATTCCTGTGAAAGTGATGAGGATGACAGGGCTTCGCATGCCAGCTCTAGTGACTGGACTCCAAGGCCGCGGATAGGTATGGGTCAGAGCTATGCAGCTGGGGAACCCTTTTTTTTTTTTTTTTTTTTTTAACTTTGTATTGTATTCTGTTCTGTTTGTTTATTTATTTATTTATTTTTGTGGTACTGGGGGTTGAACCCAGGGCCTGTGCATTGAACTACATCCCCAAGGCCTTTTACAGTTTTTGGAAACAGCTGCTAAGATGCTAAATTGTCTAGGCTGAGCTGGAACCTGAGATCTGCCTGCCTCAGCTTCCCAGAGTGCTGGGATTACAAGCACACACTATTACGTTTGTTTTTTTTTTTTGTTTTTGTTTTTTTCCAGTTCTCTGTCCTGTTTAGCCTATGGACTTTTAGTATGTGATATTTTATGTATTACTCATTTATTTATCTTGAGATGCTGAACACTGAATCCAGGACAGCTCTTCTAATGAGCTGAACACCCAGGTCTTAGTTTTTGTTTTTAAGCACCTCAAGTTCCTAGAAGCTGATTGCTGCTTTTCAGGCTGCTACATCCTATATTGGGCATGGTGGTGAATGTTGTAATCCTAGCACGTGGAGGCTGAGGCAGGAGGATTGCTGCAAATTGGAGGCCAGGCTGGGCTACATAGTGAGTTCAAGACCAGCCTGAACTACAGTGTGAGATAGTCTCAGCACACATCACCCCCGTCTGCTGTCATCAGCTAGGTGGTTTTTACTCTTGAGGTTCTTTTCACCTGTACCCTCTTGTGAAATGTTCTTTCTCTGTAATATCTTCCTCTCTCCTTCTCGTTCTTTATTTCTTCCTAATGTTTATTACTTCCAAGTTCTGTATGTTTCTTTAACATCCATTGTTTTGCTCCACAGAAATAGTGATTCTTGGTTTTTTTGGGGGGTGGATCTTTTGGGACAAGGTCTCACTTGGTAGTTTAGTTTGTAGTTCAGGCTATCTTTGAACTTCCAGACATCCTGAACTTCCAGCCATTCTCCTGCCTTATCCTCCCAAGTGCTGGGATCACAGGTGTGCACCACCACATTGCACACCTTGACAGGGTGATTTGTATGCTACTGTTTCCTGAGCCCCTAGATAAAGTGCCTGACACATGGTTTGTGCCATCCATTTTTTTCTGTCTTCATACTTGCCTGCCTTCCTTGGATTGAACTTGGAGCCTTTCAAATGCAAAGCACACGCTCTGTGCTGAACTACATCATTACACCCATTTGCAAGTCAAGAATATTATCAGGTATTTTGTTTCCAAGTGCTGAGGATCATACACAGGGTTTTTTGCACATGCTAGGTGACTACTCTGACACTGAGCTATACCTCCAGCCTCACACCAGGTTTTTATACCAAAGATATATTATCACTATCCTGAAAGTGATCTTTTTCTTTTGCTCTTATATTTCCAAGTGGCTTGACTGTTTAAACACAGTAATGCTTAGTTCTTCTTTAATATCTAATTTTCCTTTTCTTAAGCTAGGAAGCTGATTTTAGCAAGTTGGAGGTCAAAGAATTACTAATGCTGAAAACATAAGCATTACATGTGTCATTTTGAGAAATTGGTTAAGATCAAACTGAAGGTTATTACTGGAAAATTATGAAAAGATGGTAGTTACATGTACATCTTAAAAAATACTTATTTTTTTGGTATAGTGTTTCACTATACAGTTCAAACTTATAGTGATCCTCTTGTCTCAGCCACCCCAGCACCAGAATTACAGCGTGTACCACCATGCCTAGTTTCAGTGGCTGGTAGGGCATGCAGCACTGGGGATCAAACCCGGGTCCTTACACTTGATACGCAGGTGCTTAAACCATCTATTTCCATTTTCTTTTCTGTGTTCTTGATAAGTAATGTGGGCTGTCAGAACTTGTAAAATCTTTTCTGTAATGACTTGTAGACCCCATTTGTAAATACGTTTTTGTTAATTATAGTGTATGGTTCTAGATTTTAGCCATAAAATATACTTTGAAGTCAGGTGTTATGGTATATACCTGAGATTCCAGAACTTTGGGAGGCCGAGACAGGAAGATTACAGGTCCATGCCAAGCCTGGGCAATTTAATGGCTCTGTGAGACCCTGCCTCAAAAGCTGAGGAAGTAGCTGAGTTTAAAAGTCCTCGGTTCAATCCACAATATCACAAAAACATTCTGGTAGTTTGGTTCTTTTCTGTGTTTTTTTTTGAAAAAAAAAAAAAAAAAAAAAGTTTCTGGGGATTGAAATCAGGGTCTGTTCCTGAACTGTAAACCTCTTCCCTTTTATCCTTCAAATATGTACTTCTGGTTCAAGGAAACCCTGCTCTTTTTTTGTGGTACCAGGGATTGAACTCAGGACCTTGTGCTTGCCAGGCAGGTGCTTACACTACTGAGTTACCTCCTCAGCCTGACCCTGTTCATCTTTCATGAGCACTCTAATCTCATTGGCATATAGACTTAACTTTCAGAGTGTACTGAGAATGAAATAACTTTGTTAAAAAATCAAGCCTTACATGTTGCGATTACTTCAGAAAAAAACATTTTTGACTACTTGACTGTGGTTTTGATCTAGTGTTTTTCCCTGTAATATAGGTCCATATACTTTTGTTCAGCAACATCTCATGATCGGCACAGATCCTCGAACAATTCTTAAAGATTTACTACCAGAAACAATTCCTCCACCTGAACTGGATGACATGACATTGTGGCAGATTGTCATTAATATCCTTTCAGAGCCACCAAAAAGGAAAAAAAGAAAAGATATTAATACAATTGAAGATGCCGTGAAATTACTACAAGAGTGTAAAAAAATCATAGTTCTAACAGGAGCTGGGGTACGTAAGCTGCCAGATGCTGGTAGAAGGGAGAGGCAGTGTGTGCTTTTTTTCTTTAATCCTTTTCATCCTTTTCCACTTGAGCTTTTTTTCCTGAGTTATAAAAATTCTGCAAAATTTTGTTTTTGTTTTTTTTTTTTTGCTAGAGTCTCATTATGTAGCCCAAGCTGGCCTCAAACTCATGGTAGTTTTACTGCTTTAGCCTCTCAGTGCTAGAGTGCTGGGATATGGGTGTGTGTTGCCACACCCAGCTAGAAGAATTTATTCTTGATGATACTGACTTTTGGGTAGTTGCCAAAAAATTGAGCACACTTTTGAGATCCTCCTACTTCAACCTCACAACTAACCCAGATGACAGGCGGGTATCACTCTACCTGATTTGTAATATAGGTATTTGATGTTTTTGAGGTGATAGGATGCTGACCATATGAGAGTGATTTTATTTATTTATTTTCTTAGTTATTATTTTCTGGTACTAGGAGTTGAACTCAGGGCCTCAAGCTTGCCACGCAGGTGCTGCACCACTGAGCTGTATCCCAAGCCCTCAGCATGGTTGCTTTGGAAATGACAGTAAAAAATATTCTAAGCTGTTTTCTAAATAAAATAAGTGAGTTGGGTTGGTTTATTCCACTTTTTAGTTAAGTAACTTGGCTTTGTTAAAAGCTTAAAGATTGAAAATTAGCACAGTTTAGAGCACATAAGAGCCTGTGGCAGGAAGATTGCCATGAATGTAGGCCAGGCTAGGCAACATAGTAAGTTTCAGGCTACCCTGAACTTATAGAGTAAGGCACTGTCTTAAAAACAAAATCTCAACTTAAAATTCCTTATCACTATTAAAAAAAGAATATGTACATTGGATTTAATTATACTTGTTTATTTCAGTCTTTATTTCTACTTGAAGTTAGACTGGTGGGATATTTCTATTCATCAGAAGATCTAAACTAGTTTTCTTTCTAGTTCTTCCCTAAAATTATAACAGTGCTAATTATAAATTAGGTGATTTCATTGTCCAAATTATTGTGTGTGTATTTCAATTCAGGTCTCTGTCTCGTGTGGAATACCTGACTTCAGGTCAAGAGATGGCATTTATGCTCGCCTTGCTGTAGACTTCCCAGATCTTCCAGATCCTCAGGCGATGTTTGATATTGAATATTTCAGAAAAGATCCAAGACCATTCTTCAAGTTTGCAAAGGTATTTTATTGAATTGTTAGTGTGTTTGGCCTCATGAAAATTTATTTTGTTTATGTGTAGCTTTTTGAGGTAGGGTTTCACTCTGTAGTGTAGGCTGGCCTTGAACTTAACAGCAGTCCTCCTGTCTCAGCCTCTTGAGAGGTTGTAGCTCCTAAAGCTGACCATTCCATATTTTGTAAATGCTGCTGCTACTTTAGTGGTATAAGGTCACTCAGAGTCAGCTTGTTTTCAGGGAAGAGGTAGTGTCTTTTTTTTTTTTTTAAGTGTCATTTAAAAATATATATTTCACTTAAACGGACTTTATTTTGAACCCAGAACCTTTGTATGGAGATAGATTTCCAACTGTTTTCTAACCTTAAAATTGTGGGGTTTTTGTTTGTTTGTTTAGTTGGTTGGTTTTTTTGTTTTTTGGCAGAACTAGGGATTGAACTCAGGCCCTAGTGCTTGCTAGGCAAGCGCTTATTCTACTGAGCTATCTCCCCAGCCTGTTTTTGGTTTTTGTTTTTTTTTTTTTTTTTTTTTTGCAGAACCGGAGAGTGAACTCAGGCCCTTGCGCTTGCCAGGGAAGCGCTTATTCACTGAGCCATTTCCCCAGCCCCTCGGGTTTTTTTTGTTTGTTTGTTTTTTGTTTTTTGTTTTGAGACAGCATTTCATTGTTTCATTCAGATTGGCCTCAAACTCAAGTGATCCTTCTGTGTCAGTGTCCCAAGTGCTGGGATTACAGGTGTCCCGAGTGGAGGGATCACAGATGTGCGCTACTGCACCTGGCTTTATGTTGAAACAAGGTCTTGTTACATTGCTAAGTTGCCCAGGGTAGGTTCAAATTTAAGATGATGCTGCATCAGCAGCCTCCCACAGTTCTGGGATTGCAGAGATGCATGACCATGCATTGCTTCTACTTGGACTTTGTTTTTGAGACATGGTCTCACTATGTAGTTCAGGCTGCCCTCGAGCTCACTAATATGTATGTAGCCCAGGCTGGCCTCTAATTCTGCGATCTTTCTATGTCAGCCTCCCAAATGCTGGGATTACAGGTGTGTGCCATCATGCCTGGCTGTATTTTGACTTTTAATTTTTTTCCCCTGAGTAAAAGAAAGTGAAGACACTTATTGATATGTTCTATAATATCCAGATTTTAGCATGATGTTGTATCCAAAAAGTTATAGGTAATTAGGGCTGAAGATTCTGAGATATAATACTTTGCAAAGGAGCTTTATTTTACTTTAGTCTCTAGAGCAGTGATGGCAAGCTTTTTAGAGCTTTTAATGATACAACAACCCACTGTGGCACATGTGACATAGGATTGTCACTGCTGTTCTAGACTCACTGTCCAGTTCAGAAGCCACTAGTTACAGACTAGGCCTGGTGGTGCACACCTGTAAGCCCAGTACTCGGGAGGCTGAGGCAGGAGGATCACCAGAAGTTTGAGTCTAGTCTGGGTTACATAGCTAGTTTAAGACTAGCCTTAACTACGGAGGAAGATCCTTTTTCTCAAAATGCCAAAATAAGAGCTGGGTGTGGTGTTACATGTCTATAAGCCCAGCATTCTGGAGACGACGGAGGATCATTACAAGTTCCAGACTAGCCTGGGCTACAAAAGTTAGCTGAAGGCCAGTCTGAACTACATAGTGAGACCCTGTATCAAAAAGACCAAAAAAAAAAAAAAAAAGAAAAAGCCCACCAAAATAAATAAACAAAGAAAATCAACAGTATGTGGAAATAACTTCAATATTGGCTTTAAAAACATTTTGAAATCTTTTTAGTGGGATTACTAGAAAATTTTAAATTATATATATGGTTTATGTATCTGTCTCTGCCATAAAGCTTAATATTATGCATTGTATCATGTTCAGGAGACTTTAATCATTAGAAAACTTGTATTTTTCAGTTGTTTAACCTTATGGAAAAATTACTACATTTGGAAATATATCTGAAAGTGTCTTCTGCACTAGAAACTTAGTGAATTTTAAAGGGTATTTCATTTACTTTCAAAACAAAATTGTTTTTATACAAATGACATTGTTTTTATACAAATGTTTTGTACAAATGTATTTATACAGTGGTACCTCAGTTCATGAAGTTAATTCTTTCCATGATTCTGCTAACAGAATTTCTCACTTCTGGTTGCAGCTGAATTGCAAGTATGTATAATGAACCAAGTACCACTATATAAGTGGAGGAAAAACCACTAGTTCAGAGTAAATGATACTGATTTAAACTGGTGACTGTCTTTTCTTTTTTTGTGTGTGTGGAACCAGGGCTTGAACTCAGGCCCATGCGCTTGTCAGGGAAGCGCTTATTCCACTGAGCCATCTCCCCAGCCCAAAACTGGTGACTTTCTTAAATAAAATATTTTCTTATTTTTTCTTTAGTAACTGGCCCTTTGCACTGAGTTACATCCAACTCCTTTGTTTTTGTTTTTGTTTTGAGGGAGTGACTTGCTAAGTTGCCTGGACTGGGTTTAAACTTGCCTCAGCTCCCACAGTACTGGGATTATAGGCATGTATCACCATGTCCAGCTAAGAAATAGACATTCTGTTTTATCCAAATTTAGTGTCTTAAAGTGTTAGAGTAACGCAAGAAAATTATATGAGAGACTGGGCGTGGTGGTACATGCCTGTAATCCCAACTCTTGGGAGGCTGTAAACAAGTGGATCACTATGAGTCTGATCTAGCAGTGAGACCCTGAACACCCTGTAGAATCTTCCCTAAAATACAAACAAACAAAAAACCTATAAGAAAAATTGCCTTTTGCTTGTATCTGATACTGGGGATTGAACTCAGGTATTCTCACACTGAGCTGCATCTCCTTTGGAACTAAGATTTTGCTGAGTTTCCTTGGAGGGACCTGAACTTGCAGTCCTCCAACCTGGGCCTCCCAGTGTGCTTGGCTTATGGGCATATACTGCCGCACCCAGTATATGGTAATTAAATATACTAATTAAATGTGAATTTAATTAGTAAGCCAGTATTAAACTTGACAATTTTTGGATAAGCAAGAGACTCTTTGATCTTTCTAAAAAGTAACTTGAAACAAGTTTGAAATTGTAAGCTTTGTCAGCAGATGGGGTCATATGTAGCTAGTCTTTAGAGCAGACTGCATACTTGAATAAGTAAATGTTTTTTGTTGTTAATTACAAAACTATGGGTCTGTGAGATAGCTCAGCAGACTAAGCACCTACTTAGGCAAGCGCAGGGACCAGGATTCGATTCCCGGCACTGCATGCTGTACCGGCCCTGCCTCTGCACTGAGCCAGCCACAGAGATCAGGCATGGTGGCGTGTGCCTGTAATCCCAGCATTGGGGAGACTGAAAACAGGAGGATCATTAGGAACCAAGCTGTGTAGTGAAACAGTGTACCAAATACATTAAAAAAATAATAATAAAATAAAAATTACCAAACTCTGACAGTGAAGTTGCACTGCTTTTTCATAGAGCCCATCTGGCAAGTGTGAGGTCCTGAGATTGATTACTGGTACGAAAAGAAACTCTTTGTGCCAGGGGTTCTCCTGCATGGTTTTGAAGCTCAGTGAAATATCCCTTCCAGGTTTCTTGATTTAGGGCATAGTAGTAGCCCTGCTTAGTAGACTATGGTGCTTAAAGAGGCTAGTAGATACGTAGAAGGTACTCAGACATTGTACCTAATTATAAAAGCGTGAAGCAACAGTGTATTTATGTAACACCTCCAGGAGTTTTGTTGTGAATTCAGTTTTTTAAATAACAGGTTTGTTTAAACTTCATTAGTTCATTTGCAGTACATAATGACTACATTTATTGTGAGGAGTTGGTACCTATACACATCTTAACTCTTTTCATTCTTCTCTCCTCCCCCTCCCTCATCCCTTGGTCTCCTTTGCATTTGCAGATACATCTCCTGTTTCCTAGTGTCTGTACTGTTTTTGGTTTTTTGAGACAGGGTCTTACTGTATAGTATGGTCCAGGCTGACCTTGAACTGTGTAGCCCAGGGTGGCCTTACTATGATCCTCCTGCCTCAGTCTCTCAAATGCTAGGATTACAGGCATGCACTACCATGCCTTGCTTTATAAACACATTTTTGTTAACTATTCATTTATTGTTGGACATAGCACTTTCAAAATTTAGCTGTTATAAGCTGTGCCTAAGGTAAAAATGGGCGTGCATATGATTGTAATAGGGTTTCTTTAGCTCTTAAGGGGAAAAAAACCTAGAAGGGTAATAGCTAGATTGATCATTTTTCTGCTTTTAGTTTCTTTTGCAGAACCGGGGATTGAACTCAGACCCTTGCGCTTGCTGGGCAAATGCTTATTCTACTGAGTCATCTCCCCAGCCCCCTACACGATTATTAACTGGATTTCTTTCTTTTTTTCTTTTTTTTTTGGTGGAACTGGGGATTGAACTCTGGCTCTTGCACTTGGCAGGCAAGTGCTTATTCTACTGAGCCATCTCCCCGGCCCCTAAACCTGGACAATCATAAGAGAAAATAAAACATGTGAATGACAGTAGAAAACTCATATTGTAAATGTATTAAAATGAGTTTATATGAAGCCATGAAAAGGAGTATTGGTGAAATAATGATATTAAGGAAAGGGAGAATTTCTATATCCTGTATCCAGCCCTTAATAAAATATAATTGCTGAGAAGTAGTACAGCTTTTACTAAGATTGGTAACATAGTGGAACAGTGAATTAAAAGAGGCTACTGGTCCATGAGAGCAGTTTCTTTTTTTTCTTCCTTTGTCTTTTTTTTTTTTTTTTGGTCCTGGAGATTGAATCCTGTCCTTGCCTCTACTAATTGCAGTTTCTAAAACTCAGGAGCGGTTGACACCTCTGTTTGCGTAAGTCTTTACTGTGTGGAGTTTTGCACGCTGTTGTGTTGTAGGGTGTCCCTGCCCCTGCCTGCTACTTGCCGCTCCATCTGATATATGAAAGGCTTACAGACCCGGCACAGGTGTCCCCATGGCCACTGCTCCTTGAGTACCAGTGTGACACTGTGTACCTGGACGCGGTGCCACTTTGCACTG